TGCCACATCAAAGTATCAATGGCTGTACTGGTTCTGCTAGAAGACATCTTCATTTTGAACTGTTTTTATCCAGGAACATTGTTGACAGACACTTCTGAATACTCTGTACTCAAAGTGCTGAAGACAGGAGGCTTTTCTTCGAGAGCAGAGAGAGATATTTGACAAGTAAGCCCAGTCCAAACAGTTATTCTCTATTTTCTCCAAGAAAAAAGTAGCAGACTGGATAGAAGATCCTGCAGGCTGCATGCAAATTACATGCTGCCAGTTAAACCATGTTTAGCTAAGGAATGCACTGTAACTAAGTAAACTAATTAAACCTTCTGGTCTTTCTATGTCTTTGGAGATCATAGAATCATCTAGGTCGGAAAGGAACTTCAATATCATTGCGTCCAACCATCAGCCTGACACTGCCAAAACCACCACTAAACCATGTCCCTAAGCACCTTGTCTACCTGTCTTTTAAATACCTCCAGGGATGACAATTCCACCACTTCCCTGGGAAGCCTGTTCCAATGCTCAATAAACCTTTCAGTAAAGAAATTTTTCCTAATACCCAATCTAAAACTCCCCTGATGCAATTTGAGGCCATTTCCTCTTGTCTTGTTGCTTGTTACTTGGCAGAAGATATATATAGATATAAAAACCTCAATACTTTTGTCACTTACATATACAATATATACTTTTAATTTATTTTTTGAAGATACATGCATTCCTGTTTTGCCGGTTATTGAAAATTACCTTCCAAATTTATGAGCTCCCTAATAGATAAAAAGATGTCCCATGCATTACTGAGGTTTAAGGTAATCCCATTGTGCCAATATGTAATTGGTTTGTATCTTAAATTTTTTGTGTTGTTTTTATTTACACAGTAAATTTAATGTGGCATCATCAGTCCTTTAAGTTCAAAGACCTCAGATTATATTGCCAATTTTATTTCAATCTCTGTCCAATGAGCATTTAATCATGTCAAGTTTCAGGTCCCTATCTCAGCCTCCAAGCCCAATATAGTGGTTGTTCCTTACTTTTTATAAAGCTAAAAATATAAATTTTATTGTCAATCCCTATCCTGATCACTCTTTTTAAAGCCTCTACAAGGCTTTTACTTTAAATGCCTTTCTAAGGAAAATGCTATTGATTTTACCTTTGTTATAACTTTATTCTTCTTTCCTTTTCTTCTTCTCTCTTAAGTAACATCCAAAATTTGGGAGGCTGGGTTGAGTTTTAATAACTGTTTTTCGTTATTTTTACTTGCATTTTAATTATATATCTACCTCTGGACAGCACTGACTACAGTGAGATTTTGAAAATAAAAGACTACTTGTCCGTTACCTGAGCTACTCTCAAAGAGAAGACTGCAAATGCTGCTAGCTTTAATCTCTAGGGAGAAAATATCTGGGATAATTGAAGAGTATTTCAGACATAAAGAAAAATGCAGGACCAATTTTAATTAAGGAACTAGAGCTCCCAGGTAGTAATTAAATGTTTTAATTCTATAGCTGTGCAAGAAAACATTGGTCACAATAATAATATTATGCAAATTGAAATGACTGCTTGAGATAGAAAGATTTAAATTTCCAGATGTCTGTGACTATATAAATTTCACTGAGAAAAAAATTCTGTGCTAATCTGTACGCAGGTGATCTCTTGAAACATCGTTGGCAGCCTTAACCAGAGAGGAGGTAATCATAGAGACAGACAGACAGGAATAACGCCAATGTTTAGGGAAGATATGCTTGTCAAAACATAGGACACCTAATTATAAAAAACTGATTTCATAATAAAGTTATTTGGCTTTTAAAGTGATTACACTTTAGACATCCTCTCTGCTAATTCAGTCTGTATCACCACAGGACATTTTCACGTAGAAAACAGCTGCACACGATGTATCAATCCGAGGAAGGCTGAATGAAATAACATGTGACTACATTTTTATTCTTGACATAGTCATCACACGAAGGTTTCAAGTACAGGAGCCAACTGTAGGGGAATCTTATCTCTATTCAGGTTTTTTTTTTTTTTCCTAAATAAAGCAAAGAGTAAGTTCTTTACAAGCATACATGATCAGCGTATGTAGTTCAGAATATGGGAGCGATGTGAAATGCATTATATATGCAATATATTTTATATATATTTATGTATTATATAAAAAATAATAATAGAATTATATAATATATGTATATATTATATATATATTTCCTCAGTGCTGTTCTTCTTTGTCAATCACCCGAAAAAAGTTCTGCAGAAAAAAACCAATCATTCCTATCTACAATATTGCCAGCAGTGCAGAGCAGAGAGCATTGACCCTTGAGATGGATCCGGGTATGGGACCACAGCTTTTTCCCCGGTGCTCGTGGGCTGAAGCAGGTTGTTCTGTCTGTGCGCTCACTGCAGGTTTGGCTGACTATGAAGGCATGAAGGAAAACACAGAATTTAGTAGTCCTGCTTAAAAGGTCCCGTGTGACCCCAGCTCCATTAGCCTCTGCTCCCAGCATCTGAACTGTAGGCTAGTGTCAACAGGGTCCCGAGAGATTGATTAGAGAGCGGTGGGTGCCTGAGCTGAATGGCATTGGAAACAATGGAGGATGGTTCGCTGGCTCTTCCAGCCGCAGCTTCACAGGTATTTCAGTTCAGCATTCAGGTCACAGTCACCAAGAGTCCCCCCTGAGTGGCTCAGCCGGGGGTAATTGCGCATTATGTGTGAATGCCGGACAATTTCTGGCTGTCAGTCCACAATTCCAGATGAAATCCCGCTTGCAAACTGTAGATACCTGCGTGTTCACTAGTTTGGATTACAAAACTTTACAACTGTCAGTCAGCTCAATGGGCATCACTTAGGGCAGCGATTTATTTGTGTGCAGGTACTACGGATCCACGTCTTGATGACATATCGAATTGGAAACTGACCTATTGATTCGTATTTGAACTTCTATCAATACTTCTTTCCTGTTATACATAAAAGCCCTTGTTTTGTATCAAAGAACATGTTTGCAGTTGGCCTGGGTGTCGCAATGTCTTGCCCTATAATCCAAACGGCAAACACTAATGTCTGCTGATAATTTATTTCAAGGATTTCTTTCACTGCCTTCTTTCATTCTTTGTCTTATGTTTACTCTTGGGAAACTGAAAACATCCATTTTTACACATTACTTGGTCTTCATTAGTTATATTTAGGGTCATTCCAAGTCTTACCTATATCACTCATTTCTTTATTTCACTGCAGATCAACACATAAAATGTTCAACCAAAATTTCAATAGTTTGTTGTACTGGGTGTGACGAAACGGGGAAAAAGGACTTCACTGAGAGGTTCGAATTAACAATTTATTTGGACTTCCCTTACAGGTCCAATATGTCACTATTGCAAATTCTAGGTGTACAATGGTGATTACACTAATGCAGTTTAAAAGAAATTAGCGGGATACACTATTGCAAGCTACAAATGATCCCGACAAGTAACAACACAAATCACAAGCACGCTAGATATTAATACCTTAAAAGAGTGCACTAAACTTAATAGCATGCCATATATCATATGTATGTTTCTTATTCACTTACCCTCTCTCTCAGGTAAGGTCACTCAGTCCCTGGGAAGTTACCCTGTACAGTGTCCTGGACAGGGGGGGGACAGATCTCCTGCAGGTCAGCTGTATCATTGGAAGATTCCCCATTTTTCTCCCCAAACCTTGCGGTTTATATTTCCTGATTCTGTGAGGGTGCAGGATTATGCCTGAGTGGATTACACTACCTGGGATATTTACCTCTGGTGCTGTGATAGCTATGTGCCAATTTGTGATGTCTAGCACTCAAAGTCACGGAAATAGTGGTGGGATGGGACTCGGGGCATTTTGTTTGTTAAGGGCCATTTGGTTTCGGTTCTTATATGCAATCTTGAAATAACCCTGGGATGAGCTGTTTTGCAGTTCCCCCCAAGTTATCTCTGCGTAGACAAGGCAAGGCGGAGATGAAACTGAGTCGGATGACAGCTCCCTGCATCTCACCTATTGTGCTCTGAAACCGGTTTGGCTGGGTGCTCCCATACAGTGGGACTGGCTAGGATGGAGTTAATTTTTTTCATAGCAGTCCATAAATGCTGTGGTTTCCATTTGTGACTAAACTGGTGCTGATAACACACCAGTGCTTTGGGTATTGCTGAGCAATGCTTGCAGGTTTTTGATTTCCCTCTTTGCCCTGGCAGCAAGTAGGCTGGGGGTGAGTAGGAAGCCAGGAGGGGACACAGTGAGGGCAGCTGACCCCAACTGACCAAAGGGATATCCCATACCATGCAGCATGATGATTAGCAATAAAAGCTCAAGCACAGCAGGAGGAAGGTGGGATGCTCATGGTTATGGTGTTTGTTTCCCCACATAACTATTTCGGGTGATGGAGCCCTGCTTTCCAGGAAGCAGCCAAACACTTGCCTGCTGATGGAAATTAGTAAATAAATTTCTTATTTTGCTTTGTTAGCATGTGCAGCTTTGCTTCACCTATTCGACTGTCTTTACCTAGATCCACGAGTTTTTGGCTTTTGCTTTTCTCATTCTTTCCCCCATTCCACTGACAGGGAGTAAGTGAGCAGCTGGGTAGGCACTTCGCTGCTGGCCAGGGTCAACCCACCACATTACAGGTAGCAGAGACCTTTAAATAAGTTTTTACTTCTAAGTTTCTAGTTTTAGTTTCTGACACACAACATTGTCAAGTTTGATACCTGACTACAAAATTATTACAAAGTAGGCAGTGTTTTTTTCCAAGTTTCAGAGTATCTAATCCCTTAAGATTGAAGTCACAAACCTCAACTTCCACATTTAGAAAAAGTTTTTAATCCTCAATATTTAAGAAAGAAACCAAAATCTCACACTTTTTAAACATGCCTGGTATTTCGGCACCCATGAGCCACCGCTACAAGCACTCAAGAGTCGCCATCTGCCAGGCTGATATCCCGTTCTCCTCCAAGTTTGCTCGAGCATTCAAGTGACCAACTCTGTTTGGTTTTGGCCGTCGTCAATGGTACTTCATAGCTCTGCAAAGAGCCGTGCATGTAAAAGTCAACTGAGAAATTCCCGCTGTGGCCACTGGGTTGACATCACAGAGTGCGGGCTGCCGCTCTCCACCAAGGCCCAGGCCTGTTAGCAGGCAGAAGCCTTCCTCCATTACCAGGTGCGGAGAGAAGGCCGCAGGCAACTCCCTGCACCATGCACGCCGGCTGGGAGGGACATGGCTGGGACCCCTCTGCCCAAGGCGACATGCACACACAGTACACCTCGTGGGCAAGGGAGGCTGAGGGCACACCGGCAGGCAGGCAGGCAGGCAGGCATGGGCAGGTGCCCTGAAGGCACTAACGCGGCCAGTCCTTCCTCTGTAATGTGGGCCCTGCGATTACAGATAGTGCCACATGAGAGTATGACATGGCTTGTGGGATCAGACAAACTCACCCTGCGATGCACTTAGAAAAAGTTCGCCTAACTGTAAACGACATTACTCTCTGCAATTTGAGATGCTGCTGTTAGCGTCTTACTAGATCTCTCTGAAGAAGGCTAAGAGACATTTTTTGTACAAGTTTTAAAAGTGGAAAATAAGTCATCATAAAAATACAGACGAGTAGCACCCACCAAGTCAATGGCATTTCTATGGATGACGGGCTCACGGATTGTGGCCTATGCATGAAATCTCTGAAGTCCACTGAATTTTGGTTAATGAGCCGTTTTATGTAACAAAGACTTTTCAGATTAACAGTGAAAAATTACTGTCAAGAATTACTGTATTTCTCATGACTAGGTACTTTGATTGTATTTCCCCGCCGTAGCCAGGCAGGACTGGGCCTCCCAGCAGAGGCTGCCGTCTTATTTTCTGTCTCTTTTTTTCTCCCTTTTTGAGGCTGGGAAGGGAAGGACGCCTCTGACAGAGGACTGGGAGCGGTGGGTGGTCAGGGTGTGTGGTGGGCAGCTCTCCAAGGAACTAGAAGGGCTCTCCCGACCCTCCGGTAGCTGGGCTTTAACTGTACTTGGAGTTATTCTGGCGCGATTGTATTTCCTGATTGTTTTGGTAGGAGTGTCTTTTCCCCACATGAAAATGTCAGTTTCCACAAATGTGGTGTAACACTAAGGAGATCTTTTCCCAGGTTTGCATGGGGAAAGTTTCGATAGAGTGTGATCACAAATGTAACTCGGTGTTGGTACTTAAATGCTTAACTGCAAACACCTTTAGCAGTGTTCCTGTTATGTGTGTCACTTTTGAAGGTGTATGAAGGTTCAAAATATTTTATCAACAAAATATTTTATCAACAAATTGTTTGGAAAGCAGGCGAACCTTTTGGTAACTGAAACTACCCCTATTTTATTTGATTGTACAGAATTAGCAGAGAAACATGGGTATAGTTTTCTTTTTTCTTGGTTACTATTTGAGATTTTCATAGGTTCTTGTTGAGATTAACTTTGCTACAATATGTAACAGTAATAAAGTCTGTGTTAATACTTCTGGTTCATAAGGTCTTTAGTTAGTCAACTGAAGCAGACAGACATTTGGGGTTGTTGATTGTTAATAAAATGTTAAAAACCAAAGCAGTCCCTCCTGAGTCAGAGTAGCTGACTGTCCATCCATCCATCTAACTCAGTACTTCATTTGTTGTGGCACCATAAGAGATGCGGTATGAGGAAAGCACAGAAGCCTGGCCGTGCTCTTTTATGCTCCCTCAGCGTCCCTCAGTCTTTGGATTTGGGACGGTACAGGGTAGATCTTTGCCTGTTCCTTTTAGTGTCTGCTTATGGACTTGTTGGCTATGACTTACCCCATCAGCTTTACATACCTAAAAAATATTTGCTTGTATCTTCAGGTAGAATGGAGGTCTTCAGTGGTCTTCTTGAGCTGTCTTGTACTCAGTTTAATTTTCTCAATGGGTATGATTCCTCAGCTCATATCTTTCCCTTGCAGAAAACGCCTCACAATAATATGGAATTAATATCCTGTGTTCATAGCGGTGTGTTTTGAAGGACAGATGATGTTTCATTTTATTTTAATGTGTATTCTTTCAACATAAAACCGTAATGAAATTGTAGCCCAGTACCTATTCTGGTGTGTGTGATAAAATCTTAGTATCACTTGTATAGTGTGAACAAAATAGTTTGGGGACAAAATTAAGGATAATTTGACAAACAGTGTATTATTCAGGACAAAAGTAAAATTGCTAAAAACGGTATCTTAGATGTGCCTTGCACAACTTCCTAAAAATGAACTTGCCCAGTGGTATGGCAGCATTTGGGGAACCTTTGGGAAAAATGTTTTGTTTGTTTGTTTGTTTCTTTTTTAAGTATTTGCAATGATGTCTTGAATTCAAGCCAGCAAGACTGAATTGGTTCTTAATCCCAGTACAAGCTTATTTGAGTTAACTTTTTCTGTTTCCGTGTAAAATGCTTGTAAAATTTATTGTTTGCGTCGCAGTCTTATCAGAGGGCTACCTAGCCACTTTATTTCAATTTGTTAACATTAATGACTTGATGCTTAATATATGTGTGTGTATACACTCTTGTAATTCTGAATCTAATACAGGCTGAACGTAACTATTGTAGCAGTGTGAACCAAATGGCAGCAGAGTACAAGTTCCAGGTCACAATGGTATTAAGCATCGTGTGTTTTTTTCGTAAAGCAAAAAGGAGTTTGAATTTAGAGAAGTAGTTGGGGTTTCTCATGATGATGTTTCTAATTTTCTGGTGATGTGTGCATTTTGCATTATTTTTTGTTTTATTTCTGTTCCGTATGTAGTTCTAGAGTTACAGACTTCTAAAAAGAGTTCTGTTTCCTACAGTTGGCCTTGGCAGAGTTATATGAAGATGAAGCTAAAAGGCAGTCATTGTGTCCAGACAAACCAACAACTCCAAAAACCAGTAACACAAAAGTATCACAGAGGTAAGACACGCCACGTACTTCAGAAATGTGTTGAATAGGTACTGCATTAGCTCACAAAACTTTGTCATACTTATTTCATCTCCTCCATGTATAAAAAGCGATCTACAGCAGTTCATAATCCTGAATTGTGAATCCATGTAATAACGCAGAGTCTGTGTCTTCTCAGAATGCTTTTTAAATTGTATTTCTTTAGGAGCTTTTGTGCTATATGGTATTCCAATGCACTTTAAACCCATGTCAGATAAGCTAAAATGCTTTAAGTGAAATGCAGTGTTGCTCTTTGTTTACACAGATAGAATTTGGAAATTTGCTCTATCAGAAAAATACTGCAGTTCTTTGCTTCTTCAAAATTCACCAAATTAGTAGCTTGTGTGAAACTTGGAAAGTGAGCTGCTTTGAGTGTTGTACTTACATCAGTACCTGATGAGACAAATATTCATTTGAAAAATTATTAGTAGGTTCATTAGAAAGGTTCCTGCATAGTGAGAGAAATGGGAAGGGCTTCTTAATGAATTTGTCTGGGTTTGGCAGATGGAAGGAAAGACATCTATCTACGTATGCATCGAACTTTTGCTGGCCTGCAGTGTTTGCCGTTCACATAGCATTTGAAAATTCAGTGTAGTTTTAAATTTTTTATGAAGAATTCTTGCCAGTTTTTAATTAATTTTTATTTAAACTGTTTTAAAGAAGAGTCTTTACATCATTACTGTCAGTGATGCCATAACAATCTTGTATTTGGCTTTTCTTTCAATTGCTGCTGTCAATATGGATCTCTGTTTTAAAGGAGGATAAGCAGCAGAAAAGATCTTAGTCACCAGAGTCGTGCTTCAAGCGCATCTGCAAAAGCAGATCTTTAGGAGATTTTTAGGATTTTTAGCACGGTATGTGGCACTTGGAAAATAATAACTTTTTTGGTGATTTTTTTTATTTTGGTGAAACCACCTAAGTTGACTAATCAGCTACAAAGAGCACAGTTTATGAACAAATAAAGCAAACAGTTCCATTTACGGATACATATAATGAAATTACAACTTCCCACTCCAACTGAAGGAAAAGCTGCAATACAGTATCTCAGATACTTCAGCGTGATAGCTGTTGGCAGACACTTGCTCTTTGTTGGCAGTCATACCGGAGTCTATTTGAGAAAGAATAGATGGCTGCTATTTGCATGGTATCCAAAATGAGATTTTTCTTTCAGTAGACTTCAGTGTGTTCTCAGATGAGTAGTGAATTAATTGCAAGGAAACAGTGCTGCTCTTGAAGTCATCTAGCAGCCTTGCCTTCCACAATTGGAGGTATAGAAGAACGTCTCTGGGCCCTGCTGGAGCAAACACCATATTATATGTGCTGTCATGTTGTGTAAGCTCCTTTAAGAAACTCAAGACTATTGGCACAAAACTACAAGCCCCAAAAAACCTACAATGTGACAAAGGGAGAAAATAGAAGAGATTAAAGCATTTCCAGTGCCCGTGACCTAAGTCCATAACAATGCATTTTTTTTCTGAGAAAGTGATAAGCAGATCCTTCACTGGGATATAGAATTGCATTGTTCTGTTGACACCGATACTTAAAAAAGCAATGGCCTGCTCTGCTACACATTGATTTCAAAGGTATAGTAATCAGACAAATTGCATAAATCTGAACTAGTGATCTGCCATTACTCATGTAGCAGATTGTATGTATGCTCTTAAGCTACAGTAGTCAGCTACCTCGTACACATCTTGCATTAATGAATTTTATCACCGAGTACTAGAGGATAAGAGCATATTCCTGTACAGCTTTTCTTGGCATTTTGCAAGCTAACAACCCTAGCTTGTCCTGCAGTAGCTTATCGATCTGTCCCTATCATAAAACAGAATATGATTCTGCATTTTAATCATCTTTTGAAAGTCTTTGCGATGTTGCCATTCAACATAATTTTAAAATTGTGTAAAATGGAAGTGAGAACTACCACTCTCTAGTTTTTAGTATCCTCATAGACAGGACTCCAGAACATCAAAGAAAGCCAATGCTGAGTTTGCTGTGCAACTTACCTCTTGACTAAAACAGCTAAAATGTGGAAAGAATTTGAAGTGTAATTAATTCTGGTAAGCTGGATTCTGAAACAGCTGTTGAGCTTTCATATTACCTGTGTTATTTGTGGGACCACCAGTGGCATAAAGTAGAATTTTGCATAACTTATGCTAGCGTATAATAGAATAGTTCAGTTGGAAGGGACCTTCAGTGATCATCTAGTCCAACTATTACTGCAAAATGTCTCTGGCATACACGTGCCCTTTCCTGCTTATTCACTGAGAAGCATCCATGGTTATGTACTTTGGCCAAAAAAGTATGGTGAGAACAAAAGACCCCAACCACTTGATATCCTTAGTTTTTGAAAAATAAGTAGTTTTAGAAGTTAGATGTGAAGTACTTATTGAAGTGTATGTACCAGTCATCCTCAAACGTTTTCTTTTATTCTTTTGGCAGTCTTAAAATTGATTCTCTTAGAAGGCTGAGAAAACCAGAGAGAAGCATGAGCGATGACAAAGAAAACCAAAGGTATTTTTAAAACAAACAAAAAAATCATTTAACAACCGTGAAAGTCATTGCGGTTTTTTGTGACATTCACGCTTTGCTCCCCCTTGTTTTTCAAAATGCGTGTGAGCTGTCTATCCTGCAGAGAGCTAGTAACTATAGAGACTGTGTGTGACTTACTAGAGTGTTAGCCATACGCTGCTGTAGTAAAACTATATTTAGCAGAATCTGGCTGTAGTTGTGTAGGGCCTTAACACGTGACTGGATGGATGTAAAGTTTGTAACTTACACTTGGGACTCCGAAGCTTTTTTGCCTTTTCTCAAATATCCTGAATTAATTGTTCTGTGTACTCATTACTCAAATATTTGAGTACTTCATTTCTTTCTTGAATACAAGCTCTGATGAGCGTTCTTGTTTTATCTCCTTACCACCATAATTCTTTTAAATCTAATAGTCAAAGATTTTCCATAGAAAAATATGCTGTAAAATATGGTGGAATCAACAGCATTTTGAAGACATTGGCCTGAGAGACGGTTTCACATGAATTGATTTGCCTTGCCCCAAGCGGTTAAGTGAAAAAGTTAGAGAGTAGGAAGCGCTTATTTTATTAGTTACTAATGCTTCTTATAATCAAAGACAAAACACTTTCAAGTTTGCTAGGTTTTGTATTTATATATAGATCTTTTACAGCATCTATTCCATTGGTATTTAGAGATTTATAGTGTCTTCCTCAAGACGATTATCAAGGACTATCTTGATTTTCATAGTCAAGCAGATACAGTTTTCAACAGAATTATTTGTAGTTTAAGCTTTTATCTTCAAGAGCTAGAAATGGGGCTGTGTTGAAGAAAAAGAGCGCAAATTAGCTTTCACAGCAGTCTCTGCAGATTTTAAAATGCCTTGAAAGGTTAATTAAATTTATTAAAAACTTTCAATTTCTCATATTGGCAGGAATGAAAGTATACTAGATCTTTAAATTAAAAGATCAAATTGTGGCACTGTTGAAGTTTTCCAGTGACAGTTTTACGCTTGCTCTGCCAAGGCAGTGTTAATTGTGTATTGGTATTCTAACCAGCCCAGGCACTGTTCGATGCACTAGACACCCCTGAGGAAGTCGGTCTTTCTGGGAGCAGGCAGCATCCGCATAAGATGAGGTGTATAAAGCCACAGCTGCATCAGGACTGCATTCACTTAAACATATGGCCTTGGCCCCTAACCACTGGGGTCTGGTAGTTTTGTTAGTGAAATGTCTTCGGAGTGGTGTTGTTGGATTGCTGGGAAGGTCAAAACCAAGTGTAACATTTCTGTAATCAGAATGAAAAGGTTTTGTGCCAAATTTGACTCTTTGTTTTTTGTTTTTTTTCTTTTGATGGGAAGAGGAAAGTTGTGTTTGTCATTTAAAGCACTGTTGCTTATGAATGTTACTGTTCTAAAGATTTTATTCAGGTGACTCAGAATATAGAGAATTGCAGATTTCTGGGGCTTCTAATAATCCAAGTAAAATCGTTGCTGAACTCTTCAAGGAAGCAAAAGAACATGGGGCTGTCCCGCTAGATGAAGCCTCAAGAGCATCTGGTGATTTCAGTAAAGCTAAGGTAAAAAAAAAAGATATTTTGATCTCTATTTACATTAGTCTCTCTGAAACTCATCTAACCACATGAGAGCAAATACACCTTTTTGTGGTTTGTGAATAGTAGAGGATTTGATCAAGTTATGTATTGTCTGTGCTCAAATAGCTTGCTCTAGAAAATAAAGTGGGGAGGAACCACACAATCTCGGGGAAAATCATTAGAAATGAAGCTAAACTGGAATTATTTGCTTTATTTTTAATTAAAATTAAAAAAAAAAATAAAGTGCAGTTTCATCCTAATCAAAATCTCTTTATCTGATGAATTACTAATGTTTGAAAAAGTGTACAGATTAGAAACTGAAATGCATCACATAAAACCTGCTTAGTCTGATTATGGTTACAAGGTATAATTTTCCACCTAGAAAGTATACACATTAGAACAGTGTATTTGCTTTTTATCACAGAAGCAAGCTTGCTGATGCCCTTATTTGCATCTGGGAAAATATTTTAATAAATTATTTCAGATATTTATTTCAATAAGCTTTCCTGTCTATTTTTTTTCCAGTCATTTTCTGGTGGTGGATATAGATTGGGTGACTCATCACAAAAGCACTCTGAATACATATATGGAGAAAATCAGGATGTAAGTAAAATTCTGAATAGCAGGAAACAGAATGTCCCAACAGATGTTTGCTGTATCATGTTTACAGCTTGAAATCACAGAGTCCTAGAATGGTTTAGGTTGGAAGGGACCTTAAAGATCATCTAGTTCCATCCCCCTGCCTTGGATAGACACACCTCCCACTAGACCAGGTTGCTCAAAGCCCCATCCAACCTGGCCTTGAACACTTCCAGGGATGGGGCATCCACAGCTTCTCTGGGCAACCTGTGCCAGTGCCTCACCACCCACATAGTGAAAAATTTCTTCCTGATATCTAATCTAAAACTACCCTCGTACAGTTTGAAGCCATTCCCCCTCATCCGATCACTACATCCCCTTGTGAAAAGTCCCAGTATTACTATAACTATGTCTATGAGGAAAAACTAGTATCTAAATATTAGATATGTGTTAAGTAGAAATCGTTAAAGTGAAAGTGTCCACAGATGACAGATGTTCATTGGATACCCCTGAGGCCTCCATTGTGGAGTTTCTGATGTAAATTACTTTGAAATTATTAGCAGACTTTCAGTTACTTTCCTCCAGCTGTTGTTCTGCATTCTCTTAGCTATGCTAACATTTTAATCCTCTTAAGTTAGGAATTGTTTCTTCTTGTGGCTTGCAAAGTAGCCAGACTCAAACTGGAAGGCATGGATGTATTCTAGGAATGGTGAAGCAGTAGGTCGGGGGCCTTTTGAAAATTGTCTGGCCTTTCTTTCCTCTCACTGAAAAAAGGAGGAAGTGAGGGAGGGGGTGGGGGAAACAAAGTTCTCTACACTTTGGCATTTGTGTGAATGGCTTGAGCAAATGTTCAGCTCATCAAGAAATGAGTAACGCCAAAGGATATGGTTGAGGCTGGGGGGTGCTGTCATGTCACACCAGGAGCTGCTGTCTTCTGCCCTCTTAAGTAATCTTTCTACCTTCTAAGTAATAGCCAGCTTGTTACGGTTTGAGAGACCCATAACATTTTGTTGTCATTTAGACAATCATTCTATCACCCAGTGACCCCCTCCCGACCTGGGAAGGGGAATCAGGGAAAAACAAGGAAACTCGGGAGCTGAAGTATAAACAGATTTAATAGAGTAAGATTAGATAATAAACATCTGAGGTAATTAACAGCACTAAAGAACCAATATCGGTCCTGACACCAATACTGAATATGCAAAGATTATACTCAGCCAATTCTATCAGTGGGAAGCTGTGCACTCCCAGCAGTGGACAGCAAATGTCGGACACTGCGAGCGCTACGGCTTCAGGAGGAGGGGAAGGCCTCAGGGGTCCGGCACCAGGGCACGAAGTTCTCAGGGTGGCAGCCATCAAGGGAGAGAGAGAACTCCGCAGCAAACTTTCTAATTTACATTACACAGTTACTGTATCATCTGTTACATCATGGATAGCAGTTTAAGAGATTCTTTTTCCCCATGTGTAAAAGTGCTCTTGAAGTAGGTAGTAGTCTAATCTGTATGAAATTGAAATACTTATTTGTTTGTCTTCACTTTTTTTTTTATTTCACCATTTTTGCTTCATAGGTTCAAATTTTGCTGAAACTATGGAGGAATGGCTTCAGTTTAGATGATGGCGAGTTGAGATCCTATTCAGACCCAACAAATGCTCAGTTTCTCGAGTCTGTTAAAAGAGGGTAAGTTAAAATGGCAACTGTTTTGAGATATGTCTTTCAAGCAAAGTGAAGAAAAATGCTTTCTCCATATGTTTATAATTATGAAAAGTTCCAGGCTTCTCTTCTGCCTGCACCCATAAAAATATTCTGTATTCGTCATCAGGTGCATGGGGCATTTGAAAATCTGGAACACTGGTTTCCTTCCAGTGGTTTGACTGTCAATGTTACTTGTTAGAGATGGCTTTTAGTTTCACATGCTTTGTAGCACATTCTAGGTTTTGAGTCTCAGCTCACTTCCTTTAGGATGACATCAATTCATAAAACAGTTGGAGGTCTATGACTTTTAAAATAAACTTACTAATAGTATCAACTCATATTGTACTGTGTAAGGTTTTTGTGTAATTTTGTATTGCAGTTCAGAACATAATTGGGAAACTTTTATTTTTGCAATTAAGGGAAATTCCTGTGGAACTGCAGCGAATTGTTCATGGTGGCCAGGTTAATTTGGATATGGAAGACCACCAAGAACAGGAATATGTGAAGCCTAGACTGCGTTTCAAAGCTTTCAGTGGCGAGGGCCAAAAACTTGGAAGGTAAGAACCACCAGGTTTTCTGTTCTGTGTTCATACGCTATTTCAAAAGCTCGATTTAATCAATAGGAGACTGTTGGAGAAGCTAATCAGTTGACAAAAGCGGTATAAAATTATTCTGTCCTGCAAGTCTCAGCCCTGATTTGAGTCACCAGTAATCATGAAAGTTTACATACAATCTTAAAAAAAGTTTAGTCTTAGCCCTCTGTTGGAACTGATCATAGATTTGCTAGATGCTTTGTGCTTTGTTGTGACTATGAGATTTTTCTGCCTGTGGTTGCATATAATTTCGCCTATGTATATTTTTTTTAAACTTCAGCTGTGTTTAAAATGGGAGCAAAGAAAGCTGAAAGGTGATTAGTACTGTACAAACTTCATGAGAACATCTCTGGGTTGAGGAAGCAAATGACCCAAATGAATTGTTTCCCATTTAGTGAGGAACAGGCAGAACTTAGTTATAGTATGATACTGGCCAGTAAGGGTACACTCTGCTCTGGCTTAGCTGCAGCGCCTTTTGTCTGTTACTGCTGGAATCATTACAAAGGGAATAGGAGATGCTATTGCAGCGCTATGGCTGATGCCATGTGGATGGAAAGTATTTTTGTATGGGAGCAACTCCCATATTTTTTTCTGGAATGAAGTAGCAGGAATACTGTCCTGAAATACAACCTTGTAAAATGGTCAGTCATTATAAGTTATACAAGGCAAGTCTGCTAGCTTTAAGAAGGAGAAATAATTTGATGAACTAATTTCTTTTAATTTGATCCACAGTAAATGAGCAATAAGTGGTATTAAAATCGCTCAACTTTTACTAGGATTGGATTAAAACTGGAAATGCGGCTGCTAAAAAAACTATAGTGGAAACTGCTTTTTAAAAAGCAAACCACCAGAGAAATTGCACATGCTCCCCTAGATGAAATAATACTACAAAGCCTGGATTGTGGGAAAGGAGAGGCTCAACTTTTAACCTCTGATCAGAGCCTCCACTTCCTCCAATTCTAGTGTCATCTCCAACTACAGTAGAAAGTTCATATATGTAGTAAAACCCCCTGAAATTTAATGATTTAGAAAAACTTTTACCTGATTCTGTTTCATTTGCTGTTCCAGTTGCAAGGGTACACTGATGCTGTTGAAACTCTTAACATGTATGATTCAATGGGACTGATACATAATGTGCCAAAATTAATTTCTGTGACCGAACATTTCAGACTACTTTGTCCAAAAGTGCATAATCTCTGTTCAGCTCTGAGCTGGTCAGTAAGAGTAAACAGTAATGTGACCTCAACTCTTACAATCATCAGCTTTTTCATGTAGCAATTATAGGCTTTATAGCATATTTTTCAGCTGACTTGATATTAGCTGTTGAATTGTAAATACTTTCTGTTCATGATTGCATTTATTCACATAATATGTTTGGTTGCCAAAAAAAGGTATTACTGATGTGCTTCTGCAAGTAATTCAATAAATGATTCTTAACTGTTTCTAATCTATATTTCATTTTTAAAATAAGAGGAAATGTGCTCAGTAAAACTGAGTAGGTGGTAAGCTCCATTAGGGGTCAAATAGGGAACAATTGTATATAGTAACTTTTTCACCTGAGCAGTTGCTCAGATTATTAAAAAAAACAGGTGGGGAAGAGAGGAGGTTCTGTATATAAGAAAATACGCACACTTGTGTGGCATTTTTGTTTGTTTTGGTATTTTATGAAGTCGCAGGTATGTCAGCAATGCAAGGAGCAGCCAAATGGTTATCTCCAATCAGATTTATATTATTGTTATACTAAACGTGAAAATTACGTGCTTACTATGTGGTGATAGCAATTACCTGTTAATATAATTTGTGCTCTAAAAGGTTGGAGGATGCCCAGAATCACAGTGCTCCTGAAAGCAATTACTAAAGCAGTTTGGGTCAGTTTAGTGCACTATAGTGGTGCATGATTATTTTTTAATATAGTCCAGGTGGTATGATACATAAATCGTAGTATCGAAGACTGTCATTTCATGTTCTGTAAGCATAAACAAAGATAGTTTTGTTTGTACTTGATTAACTATTTTAAATCATGCAAATGTAATGATATGCATAGTTATAAGAAAAATAAATATGAAATACTGCAATCATTGACAAGAAACTACAAAGGCATTGTTTGTCTGTCTGAGAAAAGCTGTGTTTATACTTTAAGAGGATTTTCATTGCTCATTTGCACTAGCTGTACATGGTAGTCATTCAGTGAAAAAGACAACTGAAACATTATTCAGTTCTAATTTGACTCCATTAGTAACATCTTGTTTGTTTTTTTCTTTTCCAATCCTTTAGCCTTACACCTGAAATAGTCAGCACACCTTCTTCCCCAGAGGAGGAGGAGAAATCCATTCTTAACGCACCTGTACTGATTGATGATTCCATGCCAGCAACTAAAATTCAAATTAGATTAGCAGATGGAAGCCGATTAATACAAAGATTTAATCAAACACACAGGTAAATTGATTCTGCATCAATGCAGGTAACAGTAACTATTTCGGTATGTTTGCATTTTGTCATTAAATGGATATTAGCAAGACATCAAAAAGGGGAAAATACAGTTCCATTGTAATGCTATAGCTCTGTGTCATTTTCAGAACATAGATGTACTGATAAATTGACTGTCAAAGCAAAATGCTGTACTTGGAAACACAAGATATTTGATAACTGCAAAGTCACAAACTTTTATGACCAATTATATCCCATGATGTGTAAAGGACACGGTACCAGCCATAACTGTTCTCAGGGTGACTGAAATCTGGACAGCCTCGCTATGTAGTCACCCCAGCCCTGGGACCTTTTTGGGAGGAGCACGTGGCTGACTCGGATGACGCTGGGAAGGCACTTTATTGCAAGGTGTGGAGTATAGTCTCAATTGGAATATAGTCCACACTACAGGCGGAGAAAACCTGGGGCCCACAGTGAAGAGCTTCAGCTTTCCACCTCGTTACACTTGAGACTGTGACTAGACATGGCATGGGTTATAAGTGTAGACTGCAGCCCATATGCAGAGGGGTATATGGACATAACATGCTCGTTTGCAATTCTGGCACATGGGCTGGACATAATAATGAGAACCAGCCTTTATTTTGTTCTGGATGGTCATCTCCTAAGAATTGGCAGCGTGTGAACTTGGTGGGTTTTTTAGATCTGTTAGTTTGCTGATTAGAGCTTGCCATCAGTTTTATTGACATTGTTGGGCCGTTGCCACAAATGGTGTTGGCCAACCCCATTTATTTGTGTAAGAGGTTGTGTTAGTGCAAAGTTCTGCAAAGGTCTGCTTTTCACTGAGTGGCTGAGAGAACTTTGGGCAGAGGGCAGAGATTTGGGCAGTAGTTCCACCCATGCTTGACAGCAAGCAGGGTTCAAGCCAGCCCTGATCTGAAGTCTGCACCATTGTGTTACAACACAGCTGAACCTAAGCTTGAATCCTGCCTTGGAGGTGTTCTTAGTATGGACCCAATTCCATGTTAATATTGTTATACGAAGAGTTCACCTATTTCGTTTTTTTCTTTCTGACTCAGAATAGGGGCAGAGTGGTTGTGTGGCTTTCTTCGCCTGACAGCATACACAGACCACAATGAGGCAATTTTAGCTGAGATGCCAATAGGGAAGAAGATGCAGCAATAATTTTTCATATTTTAGCAGACCTGATAATGTACATTAAAGGCCCAGATCCTTTCTTCAGAGCACCTGCTGGAGAAGGGACTTAGATTAACAGTGGGACTTATTGGGAGCCTCTGCAGCCATGATATGTTTTCTTTTGTCTGCATGAAAGGGTAGAAGTGGTAAACTTCCCAGCAACATCTGTAACCAAGGATGTGTTGACAGAAACTTATTTTCATCCTTATTAATTTTTTCTTGGATGTGAATCTTTTTAGTTATCCTTGCCACATGTATGATCGAAATCAACGAGTGAAGTGCATTGCTTGTGTCATAAGCCTTGAAGACAGATAGAAAGTTGAAATCCCTGCTTATTTGGCTACAGTAAACCTGCCTACTTACTAGTTAGAATAGATCTTCAAAGATTTATTCTCAGCTTACTGTCTTAGGAGAGAAACATCAAATTTCAGGTTTTTATCTCTAAAATCTTATTTATTTTTCATCCATGTCTTACAAAACTAAATTATTCTTGTTATACTGTTGATGCGGTTGTTTTATAGAATCATAGAACGGTTTGGGTTGGAAAGGACCTTGAAGATCATCAAGTTCCAACCCCCCTGCCATGGGCAGGGACACCTCCCACTAGACCAGGTTGCCCAAGGCCCCGTCCAGCCTGGCCTTGAACACCTCCAGGGATGGGGCCTCACCAGCCTCTCTGGAGGTTGTTGAAGTGTTGTTCAGAAGTTCAGTGCCAAGTGAAAGTAGAGGGAAACCTCTTGCTATTGAAGTGCATTAATAATTGCCCTCTACTTTCTCATCACTGTCACCATATATTTTAAGATTCTTCCTTCCATTAATAATTTAGCCTTTTTGGAATATACTAACTAATAGTGAAATTTTTGACAGCTGGTGTTGAAATTACTTGATTTCCTGTGTTAAGTATCAGTTTGCAATATACTTCTATATTACAAATGTTATTTCTGTTATTTGAGAAAACAAGCAACATTCATTTTAATTTTTCAGGTTTTTTTATGCAAGAAGCAAAAAATTTTAGGCTACAATCATTAGTCATCTGGATCAAATGGAAATGTAAAATCAATAAGACATATTAAATGGCTTAGTCTGTTAGAGGGTTTTGTGTTTTCTGATCATCTTAATGTTCAGAGGTTTATGTCAAAGTGGAATCATACAAAGTTTTCATGTCCATATCCTTTCCACAGGATTAAGGATATTCGAGATTTCATTATCCAGTCCCGTCCAGCATTTGCAACAACTGATTTTGTTCTTGTGACTACCTTTCCAAATAAAGAGCTAACAGATGAAAACCTGACACTACAAGAAGCAGATATACTTAACACTGTGATTCTTCAGCAATTAAAATAATCCTACAGTTGTTGGTACAATATAGGGAACGTGCTGTATTGTCATACAATATGTTTCCAACAGATGAAAAAAAGGAAAGATTGGCATCTTTTTATTCCTTGACTTCCACGGATCAGATTTTTGGGTTTCATGTCTTCCAGCTATAGCATATCTAACTTTTTTTATTTTGATTTCTCAACATCATTTAACCTTTTTTCAGTGTTAAAATTAAGTTTCCCTATGTTAGTATGTTTCAAACCACATCTTGTACTAAATGTGAAATGACTTTTCATTATTTTGAGGGGGGCAGGGGGAGAAGCATTTTTCGGAAGGGGATAGTATCTTTCATACAGTTGGTAAGATTTGCACTATGGAAATGTTTTATGCTGCACTGACAAACAGCCATTTGGAAACTTAGCCTGTAGGTTATGTTTACCTTCCAAGCTGTATTAATATTAAGGTGTTCTGTTTAATAGGTCGACAGATAATTAATGCCCTGATACCATTTTTGTATATTCTGTTTGTAGTGTTTCATGGTGCAGTATAATATTTATATTCTAGTTTTTAGGTAATTCTCCCTGTATTGTTGCTCATATGAGTGAATCAGTTCAGGAGATGCAAACCTCAGCTATTGCAGACTACAATAGATTGTTCTCATTTGTACTCTAGTTGTTCTACTTGTGAAAATAAGTACGATTTATTTTTTTTGTCTTCTTGAAGTTAGAGAAATGGGAGAGACCACTGTCATCTGGAGAAAAGCTATGATTTAGATTTCATGAGAGTAGGCCTATGGTCACTTTGAACCTGAATATGCAGTTGAACCCTGTGCAGCTATGTGATTCTTCACATGAACGGTAATTTAAATAACTCCAAACAACAGAAAAAAAAAAACGCTGAGGTGCACAAACACAGAACCTGTTTATGCTGTCACTTGCATGCACAAAAGTAGACATCTTAATTGGTCGTGTATTTTTGACCTGAATTTCAGGTCTTTATATTTGGAATTTTGGCCAAAGGCATTTTGTAGTATTCAGTGGGGATTTGGTTGTGCAGCTTTCACTCTATTTCTTTGGAAGCTGTATAATTAAACCCTTTGAAATGATATATTTTTTCAAATAACTTGGCCCTACACTGCGGTGTGCAGGTAGGAATCTTATGTTGTGGACAAACTGGCTGCTGGGCTTTAGTAGTATGCAATTTTGTAGCATTTGTGGCTTTATATCGGATGAGTGGATCACACTCTGAAGGAGGGTAAATGGGCTGTATCTCTTGTATCAACGTATGTGTTAAAAATGCTGTTTTCACTGATTATTTTATTCTGAAAATATCAATACTTATTTATGCTAAGCTTATAATTGCTCAGTATATTTGATTAATCTTACATTTTTTACCTCAAAGTAGATATTTGTCTAAATTTTAAACGTGCAATTGTATTTGAAGTATTTTGTTTTGTAATGTGAATATCTGCATGATTTTATTGATAACTCATTTCACGTGCTAAGTAATTAAAGTTTTGAGCTAAAAAGACCATAGGCAACACTTCTTGTTTTCTTCCCAATTTATGTTGTGATGAAGTGGTGATTGTGTTGCATGCCAAATATTTAAGCTTAAATAGAAAGGAATGGACACTTACCATGCGTACATTTTATATACTAATACTTCTCTATATAAATGCAAGGCCAAAGTCATTATTGTGATATTGATCCTGGGCACTGTGTGGTTTGGACATATTTCAGTTCAGAATATAGGCAAAGTTATATTGCTTATTACTTCTAAGACCATATTTAATTAAGATGTATAAAGGACAGTGGTTAACTAAATTCATTTCTTTCCTCTATTATGCCAAAAAAACAACTGCATATTATTGTTTCAAATAGCTGGTAAACTTTAGTGTTTGGTAGCAGCTGAGAGTAGCTGGCAGTCCCAGTAGTTGACCTAATTTTGTCAAGCACTAAGAAAACGTGTCAGTCCTCGTGTTTACATATTTCACTGCTTCTGAGTACTTCAAAACCTGTAGAATCTTCCATCTCATAATTTTATGTCATACTTTTTATTAACATTAAATTCTCATTCTTGTAGCTATCATCTTAGCATTTTTGGCAGAAAACAGTTCTTTGAATACAGACATATGTGGATATGCAGCTAAGACTGGCTACAAGGGAGAAGGGAGACTGAAAGAAATAACTCGGTAGAGGATGATGATCTGTCTGTCATGGCAGCGCTGGTGAGCTTCTTAGGAGTTCCTCTTAGCTTCTGTGAAATACAGGTAATAATCCTGTTCCTGAGGCTTCAATTCTGCTTGTCTTTCCCAGAAATCCTTTATCACTTGAGAGTGAAATAATCCAAAACAGAATGTTTTCTCTTAAGAAAATCTCTCTGGACCTGAATGCTTGTGCTTTTTTTTTTTTTGCCTTTTTTTTTTTTTTTGGACACTGCTACTGTCTTTGTAAACATTTATTCTGGGTAAACACAATCAGGCTTGTTAGTTTTGGGGGTTTTGTTTTTTTTCAGCAGCACATTGAGATGCTTGTAAATGTTCTGCTTTAATCTGACTACTGGACACACTTGTACAGTTAGCATATGTTAACATCTGTATCATGCTGTTCTCACTCTTTGGTGAAAATCTGTCCAATATTAAGTGAACCAAGGAAGACCATGCAAGCATTCAGAGGTGCTCTGTTACTTGCTCACTGCTTAGATGCTTGCCCTAAGCTAAAGCTCCCATGGTCATTAAATTGTATTATTCTGTGCAGGGAAAATAGACCGAGAGATGCACCTTCACCTTGCTCGTGCTGATTAAGCCTGACAGGCCTCGGCACAGGCAGATGCTGTTCTACGGGCAGACGAGATGGTGAGCAGCAAGAGTCTGGAATAATAAATATTGAGTTCATGGCACACCAAAAGCAGTAGGCTTGTGGTGTTTTTATGGGATGGATATAGTTGGAATGGGTTCCTGAAGAGATTAAAATTAGGACTGGTACTATTTAGCTGCTCATCAATTATTTGAAAATAAACTTTGAAAACCAAAAGATTAGTGCAATGATAAACAACAAGAGGCAGCAACTGTGATGAACATTTAGTGAACTGTAGCAATTGGATCAATTGCATCTTAATACAGCCAAATGTTAAGTTACGAATCTGGAACCAACTGTGAAAGACACCAATGGCCTGGAAAGCACTGGCCCTGGAAGGGAGTTGGATGACAGCAGGAAAACTATGCAGCAGAACTATTTACAGCCCTTTGAGGTTTTCCAGAGTTGACGCTGTGACTGGGAGACAATTTTAGTCCATGTGTTATTGGTGAGTTTGATCCTGTTTTATGGTGCTGGTCGGGCTTCTTAAGAACTTTAGAGATGGGACCAAAAAAATCAATGGAAATGCTGAATTAAATATTTTATCTTAAAACAGTTCAAAACAAGTAGCGTGTCAGGAAGAAAACAGAGAGATGAGGTGATTTAAAGTGGGTAGTCACTTCACAGAAGGAGATAAAGTGTTATAGGGCTGTTCGGTAGAGAAAAGCGTAACAAGAATTAGAAGCTTGTACAAAGCTGGAAAGAGTTCAGGTATTTTCAAAGTGAAATTAAACCACAGTTTTCAATAGCTAAACTACTGGAATGAGGCAGCCTTGAAAGTCAGTTTCTCTATCCTACTTTTTTTTTTTGTTTAATTCTCATTGTTACATTGGATTTCTTTAAGATTTGTTTTAATTAAACCAAATTTATTTGGGTTTTGCTATTGAGACAACAAGGTAAAATAAGATGGCTTAGTTTTTGGAAAGCAATTTACTATGCCTTTGTCTAGTCATACTTAAAATTAATAAATTCTGCTGTGTGTTTCATATTTAAAGGCTGGAAACATTACATACCTCACTGTGCATCTTTAATATTTTCATTACAGACATTCCAAAACCAGTCTACTGAACAGATGATTAACAGAACTTAGATTACAGACCAGAAGTCACCTTCTTCCACTTCTTACTTGCAGCTCTCCTCCTTTAGTAATGGTCTTGTTCTGTCCATAGTTGAAGGTCTCTCTGGCAGTACATCTGAGTATTAAAGGAAAGAAACTAAGTTTAAAAAGTTTTTTGTCTAAAACTGAGAATTGAGAGGGTATCTCGGTATCTCGTTCTTTTCTGTTTGCTGTATGCTCTCGAGTTAAATATGTCATCTATAAGCTACATGTTTGGGCTCTTTTTCTAGGGTATGAGTAGATAAATGTGTTATTCCAAACTGCATTAAGGTAAGCTGAGCGAGACATTCTTAAATGTGGAATTAAAAAAAATTCCTTTAGGGAATTATTCTGGAAGAGCTACTATTTTACATTTATGAATCTACCTCAGTCCAAATTAATTTGGTGAGATCTTACAACATCTAAATACTAATGAGCAAGTGCTCCCAAATGGGAATACGCAGGAGTCATTTTGCCTGTATGATGTTTTTAGCTGAAGTTTGAATAAAAGGAATTACTTATGCAGGACTGTGAAGCTGGTATTTATTTCATGGAATTCTTAGTGTCTTACTAGGTGCTGATAGAAAAATGTTGATTGTCTATTTTAGCAAAAAAAAAAAAAAAATCATAGTGTTTACTAACTCTATCCTAAAATTTACCAAGTAATTGCACTTGAAGACAGATTACATTTCCTGATTTCCAAATTAAATTTTAATTAACTTTTTCATTGTAATAGCTGTCCACAGTGTTTTGGACCAACGGAAGCGTCAGAACTTTAGTGCCTGAATTGTGCAAACCCCAGACAAACGTTCCATTTCAGTGAACAGAATTCATTTCTGTTTATCTTGCAACTGTTCCTAATCAAGTTAAATTAAATCATCATTAATCAGATGTTCACAACGTAAATGTCCTTACAGTCTTTTGTGCTGATTTAGTTAATCCATTTTAAATTGGATTTTATAAATAAAAATCTCTGCCTGAATGTGAAAATGTAAGTGCTAGGTTTTTGGAAAGTTTGCAGTTAATAGAGAAGAACTTAGATAAGGTATTTATTTCTACTTCAATTTTAATTTTTCTTCTTTTGGCAAGCTGGTTCTGGTTAAAAGAAATTGAGAAATATTCAGTGGAGAAGACTTTGGCTCTGAATGCAGAATAGTGCTGCCACTTTTTGTCCATGAATGAGTGCCTTGATACATGTGAATACAGGTTTCCACTTTTCTATTTACCACTTTTGATATATTGGTTCTCTTGTTTTGAATGCCATGTGTATGCTTTCAACACTTTTAACTATAAAATAGTTAAAAACCTGCATGTTTTTATTAATGCGGTGCTACTTCCCATAGCAGTCCCCAATTCCTGTAGTCTAAAAGGAATCATTGAAAGCAGAAGAGGGAGCATAAGTGGATATAGGCAGATGGTTATGTTAAAATGTTTTTCACTAAATTGTTTGCTCCTACTCTTACAGTCTAATCTTTTGGTTTTCTAAGGATTCTTCCTGAACACTATTTTTCCAGGAAACAGACACAGATCTTAGACCCAGTTGGGTA